GGAAGGGGTGGAGCGGGGGGGTTGTCAGGGGTTGTATTGGTGTGGGGATAGACGCTTGGGGGTGTGTGGGGCGCGATGGGGGGAAGGAATTGGGTTGATGGGGGGCTAGGGGTCTTAGATGGTTCGATGGAGGGTGAGTAGTGATAGGGTGGATTGGGTCTGGTTATGTGTGGGGTGGGGGGGTTGTGTGGAGGCTTTATATTTGAGTTATGGATAGCCAATTTTTGAGAATTAGTCTGTCGTTGCTAATTGTGCCAAGTAGCCCATTGCCTAGTTTGGAGATGGAGAATTTTTGGATTAATATTTTTTTTTTGTCTGGGTCAGCTGGGAGAAGAGTTGTTTATTAGTTGTCGGATAGTGATTAGTGGGTTTTCAGGGGTGGTGACTCGGTCGCCGAAGGTGTTGTCGCATCTGTTTTTCCATATGGCCCATAGGGTGCTTTCTTCTCTCTTTCTAGTATCTGTGACAAAAGAAAGCTGCGTTCTACTGGTGTGTGGGGTGGGTGTCATTTCTGAGATTCAGGCAAAATGGGTCTCCCCAGCTGAAATGCAATAAAAGCCTAGGCTACCGGCCGGGCCGACTGGGTCACCTTGTTTGCCCAGGCGGCCCGGCAGTGCAAGGACCAAAGAAGGTCCCAGCAAAAAATAAAAATAAAAATAAAAAAAAATAAAAAAATAAAAAAAATTTAAACAACTGTGAAAAAAAAATGGTATGCAGAAAAATAACCTGAACAACTTTTGCCTCAGGGTCACATCAAAATGCTTTACCAAATTTAAATAAAAAATAAACGCAAAACATTTTTTTTTTTTTTAATGTTTTAAAATTTTAATTTTTTTCCGGGCAAGTGGTCCCGGGCCACTCTGGTAGCCTAGCTTAGCTTTGTTTTTTTTGTTTGGTGTTTAGTGATTCAGGGACTTGCAATTATTACGTACACCTCTACTGTGTACTTGGTAACTCTTGTGCTTTTTACATCGGTGTTTTTACTCTGGTGTCATGACTGTGTGTGAGGACCTGGGCTACCAGCCGGGCGGCCCGGCCGTGCAATGACCAGGGAAGGTCCCAGCCAAAAAAAAAAAAAAAATCCAAAAAATCCGGAAAAAAAACTATGTTATGCAGAAAACTAAACTGAACAACTTTTGCCTCAGGGTCACATCGAAATTCTTTACCAAATTTAAAATAAAGAATTTAATTAATTTTTTTTTCTTTTTTCTTTTTTTCTTTTTTGCCCGGCCAGGCCACTGGACCCGGGCCACTCTGGTAGCCTAGGTGACTACACATTTGTGTGATCTCACCTGGTCGTCGCTTGTGTATCTTCGCCGGAAGTCGCCACATGAGTTGTCTCACTCAAGATTAAGGAGAATCGCGCAATTGCAATTTGCAATGAGACCACCATGCATGAAACAATCAAGCGCAAATCTCGCACCACGTCATACACACATCTCAAATGCAAGTCTCGCATCACGTCATACCAACTCATACGCACTCGAGACACGCAGGAGGGAAAAAATAAAATAAAAAAAATGTCACAGGCACATGAGACACGCAGGAGGGGGAACAAGAAGAAAAAGAGACACGGAGGAGGTACAAAGTCCAGAAATAGTCTCAGCACTGTCAGCAGCCCACACCAAACTTAGTTGTCTTCTTCACCACCTCCGGCTATGGCAACACAACTCGACATGCAGGTAAGCCTATCCCTCTCTTCTTCCCCTCTTCCCCTCTTTCCCTCTGCTCTCACTCCCACGCTTCTCACTCGTCTCTCAGAATGTCTTCCTGTCTCTCTCTCTATCATACTACAGCTATGGCTATTGCGCCCAGCGCCATCTACTACACTGCACTTCGCTCACTCTCACTCGCTCCGTCGCGCAGCTTTTGTTATCTTGGCTGAAGCTTGTGCTGCCTAACTGAAAATAGAAAGACTCTTCATCGTCTTCAACCCATAACTGTTATCTACCTGGAAGCCCTTCCTGCCACGGTCTTCTTAGCTCACCTGCCTAGGCATCTGTAGTCATGGCACAAACGAAAACTTGGCTAGGAGCCTAGGACCACTAATGAAACAAGGAATGGGACTTGGGACTGGGACCTGCGACTGGGACTTGGGACCAGGGCTTGGGCCTGGGACTCGGGACTGGGACATGGGACTAGGAGTCATGACTGGGACCTGGGACTTAACCAGGGGTATTGAGATTTTTTGAACCCCTGGGACCTGGAACCAGGCGTATTGAGACTCCTGAACCCTTTCAATTTGCTCTCTCTCATGTTTATGGAAAGAAGCCCATCCGTCAGCAGGCTCACAATTTTTTTCTTGCAACCTCTAGGATTTGTTCTCATGGAGATCTCCTCCACTTGCCAGGGCTCCATCAACATCTCTCTATGTTATTCAGCTGTTCAGCTCCCAGCCAGCCGTTAACAAATGCCGACTCTTACACTCGTTATTACTCTTGGACTGGCTCACCGCATCTCCTCTTCCAAATACCTGTAGTCATTTGTCGCGCAGTTCAAAAATATTAAACAATATTAATCAATTATTTGGATCCTCTTGTCTATAGATTTGTATGTTGCCTTCCGGGAATCAGATATATATGTTTAGAAGGCGAGGTGCAGCTCAGCTAATGATTCTAGGGTGGATGCGTTGATTCGAGTGTGAAAGGAATCAAAGGATTCACCAATTTCTAACTTAACCTCACATATGGCACTCAGACCAAACAGGTCATCAGACGAATCAGTAATAGACTAATAGTATCTAATACTAATAATCGCACACAGCGCTCGATTGGTATAGAATTTCAAAAACATGTTTCTCATCGCGCACACTACTTGCTGCACAGGCGAAAACCTAGGTCACTTGGCTTCCCCGGGCGTGCAGCACAGCTGTGCAGCCCGGCCAAGTCGCCTGGGGGTCACCTGCACGGAGCACCCTGTGTTTGCAAAAATCAGCCTTCTTTTGGGGGGAGGTGGGGGGTTTCCGTGAATGCCCAGAGGAGGTTGAGTCCGGGCTCCTTTTTTTTTTCGAGTGTTGGCTGTCCAGGGAGGGGTTTAAGGGCCTAAAGGGGTCTGGAGGGGGCTGCTTTTGTCTGATTCCGTTGTTTTATTTTTTTCCATCTTCGATTCCGTGAAGAGTTTTGATGTGGCCCTCGGCCAAAAGTCATTTGCGTTGCAATTCTCCACAACGTTTTTTCTTTTCACCTTTTTTTGCGTCGGGGATGCGCGGAACCGTTCCCGGGGTTCATGCTCGCCGGGGCACCCGGGAATGTGTCCAGGCACAAGTTGGGTGCTCGAGCCCTCCCTTGAAAAACAGCCTAGCCGAAAAATCAATTAAACAGTTTAACATCATGTACACGCGGGCGCACGGGTGCCCGCCCAGGCAATGATACCACAAGAAAAACAAGGAATGAAGCCAATGAATAAATCAAAGGGTCTCTGGAGTTTAGAACAGCTGTGGCTGTGTGTGGCGTGTCAGTCTTGCCAACCATCGCAAGCATCCACCCAGTCAGGCACGCAAAAGCTCTCGGAAAGCTGTCAGTAGGCTATGACCAGTTTTCACTTGCCCGGTTGTCACCTACCAACAACGAATCGAAAAGTGGAAACCCTCCCGCTGCTCTCTCATACAGTCGTGCGACTGTTTTGCGGATTATCTCTTTTGCCCCATGCACGGGCGAGGGCCCGCAAATGTGAAACGCCTGAGCAATCCAGATCTGTGGTGTTTGTCTTTGGTGGTTGCTTTTCACAGGCCCAGCTGGTTCCTGGCCATTTCTACAATATCTCTGCTTTTCTTGGAGCCATACATGCTGGTGAGCTTGACTGTCATCGCTCATTTACACCTCCCCAATCCACCCTTGGCCCCCTGCTCCCCCTCCCTAACCCCCTTTCTTGATATCTTTTTTTTGGGAAACCAGTCGGTCTGATTTCTGTGTTTCACACTTTCTGTCCATTGATTACCTGGTGCTTGGAAAGCGCAGCTCCAAAAGATGAGCTGCAAATTCCTTCAGGTGTCTCTCTCTCTCTCTCTCTCTCTCTCTCTCTCTCTCTCTCTCTCTCTCTCTCTCTCTCTCTCTCTCTCTCTCTCTCTCNCTCTCTCTCTCTCTCTCTCTCTCTCTCTCTCTCTCTCTCTCTCTCTCTCCCTCTCTCTCTCGACCTCTCTCTCTCTCTCGACCTCTCTCTCTCTCGACCTCCAAAAGCTGGTCTTGACAAGACAATTATGACAAGCAGCTGCACATGCCCTGAAAGAACCATGTGACCTTGGCAGCCCCTCCTCCATTGTGAAAAACAAAAAGTAGAAAACTGTGTACCCGTACCTTCAACCATAATCAACACCTTGGATTTGCAGTGTACCCTGTAGTTGGACCCCTTGTAATTAGTAATTACCCTAAGAATCCTAAGAAACACATTTGATACGTGTCCTTTGGAACATCACAGCCGTTAAAAAAAATTGGAAGTGTACGGGATTAATTAGTGCAGCCACTTCGCAAGAATGACACACAAATCGAGAGAAAACTTCAAAAAAGTTTTTTTTAACTTTTTTTTAAATAAAAATTTATAAAATATGAAAATATTAGAGGAAAAACATGGCACAATGCATGCGGCCCTCTGTTCTTAATTAACGATGATTGTGATTACTCCTTTTCTATTCTGCTTCTATCGGAAGCAGTTGTAAAATTTTACAGCAAAAAAAAAATTAAAAAAAATCATTCACAAATGATGCCAATCATGCAGGAGAATTTGGACAAATATAAATATATCCCTGCAAATTTGCTGCATCTTCAATGATCAGCTTATTTTTTAATCTATACTAGATGAGGGTGGTTCAGAAAATTTGTACTGTTTCTCGATTTATGAGTGTCATCCGGCTCCGGTTTGAATCTGCATGGTGGAATATATCCGTACAAATACTGCATTTTGAGATCTGCAGATTCAATGATTCAGACCGTGTAAAGCTGTACATCGTCTGAATCTGCACGGGTTGCCATTTGCGGCCGTTTTTAAAAACCTTTTTTTCTGCTTTCCATCCCCCCGGCCACCAACCAATAACAATTTACTGTTTTGTCCGACCAGAGGTGCAAATTCCACAGCATGAGTTCAACATTACTTCAGATCTGAGCTTCATCTACTGGCTTATGCACACTGTGGGTTTCCTGGATGAGTCTACGGCAACTTCGCACACAATTAAGGCCAGGTTCAGTCTGGAAGCAGTACACATGTCTGCCGAGTATTTAATTAAGAGCGATCAATATAGTATCGTAAAACATGGAGAATAGCTTGTTAAACCACCAGTACCTTTCCCAGCTATTTTTTCAGAGGCGTGCTGGGTAACGCGCTGGCCTGAAACGGAAGGGCGGCCGCCGATAAATGGAATCGGCAGCCACCCTTGATTTTCAGGCCGGCGCACAGTGCCCGCGGCCGACATATGGGAAAGGTACTGGCGGTTTAAAGTTTGTTGTCTATCATCAGGATTGTCTTTTTTTTTTCTCTCTTTTCTTTTCTTTTTAAGTCCAGATCGTAATAGAGGCTGGATGCTAGGCCTCGTAGCATACATCAGTCATTGCGTTCAAAATCAAACACACAGAAAAGCAGCATACACGAAGCACACCACTGAGGAAGGAGAAAGGTTAAAGGTAGTGGAGGTAATAGGTCGCACTCACACACCCGTAGTACTATTGCTACGTTGGTTCATGCGTGGACTAATGTAG